CTACATGCCAAGTTCAGATCTGCTAGACAGGGCCCCGTCACTCTGTGAGCTTCTCTAGAACACACCTTGTGAAACAGAAACCTCACAAGGTCAGCTCACATCTGACACAGACGAACTGTAGTAAATATCAGAATAGTTAGGAAGCTCGTTCACATTCTTATCATGATACTCCAGATGTCCTTCTTCAACATAATATTACAGTCAGATCAAAAAGCAAAACAAAATCTGGATTTCTGTGAAACTAGAGTTTTCTGGTTAGCTACCATCCACTGTCCTCTCTCCAGCTTTTACTTTCAGTGTGATCACTTCTATGTAACACTTTCCCCTGGGTTTCAATGCAGAGCAAAGCCAAAGAAGTGACTGCACCCCAAAGAACTAACCACAGCTCCACTACTCTCACTTCTCTTCCCAAGGCTCTTGTCTGCAAAGGTTTGAGAAACTTCTGGAATCAGGACATTAATTCAGGTCACTTCACATGAAAATTACCATTTGGCTTGCTTTCTTTATCACACACTTGTATGCAGCTGGGTAACGGAACAATTTCACTTCAGGCTATGCTAAAAGTTGTTCAACGAGGGCACAGCAAAACTTCCACTTGCATCAGATGGTGATGTGGTCTTTGCTGACAAATTTTACCAAATGGCAAGAACTGCTCCTATACCAGAACACGAGGTGCCAGCTCAGCCTTGCAGGAACAGGCAGATGTAAAGAAGCAATATGGCCTTATGCAAATAGGCACACACTAAATTGTTCAAAGAAGCTGTGCTTCCCACTCAGTCTTTGAGCACTACAAATTTGCTCATCGAGTATTACAGATGGCATCTGGAAATCCTTTTCCTCTCCACCGCTACCTGCCAGAAAGTGAGGACACCAAGAATCAGACAAGGAAAACATCTTAGTACCTGGACTTGAAGGACTTGCAGTGAAGGAGAAAGCTGGTGGCTGGTAAGTAACTCTGCTTCCTTTCACTTTTCTGCAGCACAGAGTGGGTTTCAGGCGGTGGCCCTCAGGTCCAGGGAGAACTCAGGCTACCTGCAGGGCATCCAGGAAGGCAAACCTTTTTTCAGGAGGTTGTTGTTCCACTAAATAAGGAACCATATGAGCAATACAGAAGACATATGGATCTATTTATCGAAAAAGGCTGAAAAATCCCTGTGCAACATGCCCATAGTGACTTCAGTATCACTGGAAGAGCACTGGGCAGCCTTGGGTGTGTGGGACTGGGTGTCCCAAAACCATGACTTGTGCCCTACATCCTCCTTAAAAGCAGTCTAGCTCCAATGGCTAAAGAAACTTGACTGCTTATATTTATACGGGTAATGATATTTATATACTTTACATTATGTTTCAGAACTCACTTCAGTAAGGCATTAAAATTTGAAATTAACAACAAAATATTATTGCAAAACTAACGCATATTAGTAGATTTTTTTTTTTCCATTGGATGGGATTATCTGCAATCCCAAATCTTCTCCCTAACTTCCTGGCAGAACTGAAAAGCCCAAACTGATTCTTCTCAAACTGTTCATTCCAGGGTTTCACAGGTAATCTCTGCATTTTAAGTAGATAAGGCTGATGCATCATGAAAAGCACTGCAGACTGAACATAAATAAAACCCCAGAGCCATAAAAGGATGCAAGTGCCTATATCTTACCTTGCTGCTATTGTTAGCATTTAGCTAAATCCTCAAAACTCTCCTCATGCTCAAGGGCATCCAAACCTCTTTGGAAGAACCACTTAAGTGCTGAGAAGAATGCTTAATCTCTCCTGC